CAAGTGGCCGGCCGCCCATGTGGAGTTTCATGTTCGCTTGTTTGTCTGTAGAAATAGGATGGGAATGAGCATTTATTAGTTGCAGGTATGGGGAGGGTCAAGTTGGCTTTCAACTGCTATCATTTTGGGGTTAATGGGAAGAGGCAAAGAGAATGCTGGAGCACTGAGACAGCCATGGCTTTGGATGAGGTGGGTTCAGGGAGCCCTCATCTCGTAATCTGGTTGGGGTCTTGCTGGTTGAGGGAGGTGATAGAGAGAATGGTAATAATAATAGTTGATGTATATTGAGTGCTAAATATGGAAAAAGAATTGCGCAAAGTATTTTATATAAATTAACTCAATCCCACAGTAGACTTATGGAAGTATTATCATTATCCCCATTCTACAGATGAGGAAACTGAGCCTCAGCCAGATTAAATAACATGCCCAAGATCATAGCTAGAAAAGGGGGAGGGGTAATTTGAACCCAGGCAGTCTGATTGCAGAATGTTTGCCATTGAGTTCTAGACAAAGAGACTGTCAGTCTCATTCCTACCTCCCATTGAACTTTGGCTGTTATTATTATTATTATTAAATATGTTTTTATTGATTTTAGAGAGAGAGGAAGGGAGAAGGAGAGAGAGAGCTAGAAACATCAATGAGAGAATCATCAGCATTGATTGGCTGCCTCCTGCATGTCCCCATTGGGGATCGAGCCTGCAACCCAGGCATGTACCCTGACCGGGAATTGAACTGGTGACCTCCTGGTGCATAGGTCGACGCTCAACCACTGAGCCACATCGACCGGGCTTGACTGTTATTTCTTTTTTTTATTATTTATTATTGAAAGTATTACATATATCCCCTTTCCCCCCACTGACCCCTTTTGCCCTGCCCCTTGACTGTTATTTTCTAAGGTGAGTGGCGTGAGGAAGTGACACTCAGCTGGCCTCAGTGTTCTCAAGTGAACTCTGCATGATTAGGTTCACTCAGATTTACAAGCAAGACAGTTGGCTTCTTACCGCTGAGAACTGCCTCCCAACTGGGGAAGGAGTTGCCATAGAACGTAATGTGGGGTTTGTCACTCAGGAGCCAAGGGTGATCAATGTGGGCATGCTCAAAGGCCCTCCTGGAGGTTTGCTGTGTTTTTTCATTGTGGTTTTCTTTTGAAACCTGCATACGATGGTGGTTCTCTATCGACGTGTCCTAGGGAGAGACAGACACACACATTCTGTCAACAGGCTTTGTTAAAGGAGCAGAGCTGGCTCCTGTAACAGGCAGAACTTGTGGCTAGAGTTGTGGTTCCAAGGAAGAAATCTCCCCTGTAGCTGGGGAAGAAAAACATGCTTATAAAAGCAAGATCTCTAATGCTGTTTGTTACAATAAGACATTTTATTATGGATGAGAGAAAGAATGACACTTAACCATGCTTGACATTTGACCTATAGTGTTCTTCTCCTTCTCCTTCTCCTCCTCCTCCTTCTTTTCTATGCAAAATGATGTCTGTCTTTCTGCATCACTGAGTAGTGGTGCTCATCAGAATTTCCTAACAACATAAAGACAAAGGCAAGTCTATATATTTGATCAGATGTCAAAGGAATGGGAGGTGGACTATTAGGTGACCCTTAGTTGTAGCTTCTGCTGGCTTTTTGCTGTATGCTGTTCACCATTATGAGGCAGGTGGACTTTTGTGAGGGGATGGTATTTGGGGGCTAGAACCTCTTTAGAGCATTTCTTCTTGAATGAAATACTCAACAGATAAGGGAGTAGGGGAGGTAATACAGAGAAGCTACTCTTTGCAGCTCAGAAGGAAGTCCATGTATGCATTCAAGAAGCCCATGTTATCCTCTAGCTGTGGGTAGCAGCTAATGTGGTCATCCAGAATAAACACTGGACCACGGCAGCGTTTTCCTGTTACAGCTCCAAAAACTTCAGATAGGGATTCACCAGATCCAAAGGCTCCAGATAAAATGAATGGAAACACTTATAGAGGCAAGAGCTCCCACCCAACATCTTCTAAATTTCTTCCGCTGGTTGATATACTGTAAGAGACTGTTGATAACTAAGTTCCCATCATTGTTGCGTGTCCCTGCCCACATGTCCCATAGCTAGTTCACTGTCAGAGGGTTGGTGTAAGGCCCAAACACTGGGGTGAGACCTTGAGAAAATACAAAGAAGTTCATCAATCGTGTGAGTGGGTGACAGCATGTTGGAAAGCCATGTAAAAGCACCACTACCTTCGGACTTCCATCTATACCCACAGGGTCCTGATAGAAGATGCACAGTCCCTTGTAGGTAAAAAATTTGCCTGACGACTTCCATGAGTGAGACCAGGGGAAAGCTTGGAGTGGGCAGGATGTGTGGATAGGCCACAGCAGGGGAACGGCCAAGAGTCCCACCTTTACCTATCTGGGCTACAAGACTCCATGTTTGGGGGAACAAGTGGGGCATGCCAACAGTGCAAAAATAAATACATAAAAATAAAAATGAAATAGCAGTATCATTGACTTTATCCACCATGAAATTCCTCTTTCCTTTCCACTTCCATTATGTGGCATTCTCCCCCTTGCCTGTTCTCATTGGAATCTGACACATTTATTCAAGTCAAACACATTTGTTTAACATAGTTGCATGTGTTATCTATGTTGCTCTGAACCAGTCATTTTGTACACACACACACACACACACACACACACACACGGGCCTTAGACTTCAGAAAGCATTTTTACATTTTAACCCATTTAATTCTCAGTAACCTTGTGAGATATGTATGATGACAGCTCCATTTCCCAGAATAGGTCATTCAGGCTCAAAATTAATTAAATTTCCTGGACAGGCTCACCACAACTAGGAAGATATAGGACTTGAACCAAGACTTTTCCAATTCTGTGGCCAAGAGCTTTTTTTTTTTTTCTTCTAGAGACTACAGCTAGATGAGGTGAACAGTCTAGGGAAGACCTGTGATTAAATAAGTTTGGAAACCCATGAGTTAAAGTTAAACTAGCTACTCCACCTATAGAACTTCTCAAAAATGGTCCATAGTTAAGTGTGCACTGTACCTCTCCACGAGGAGAAGATGGTACGCAGCATTTCCCAAATGTATTTGGCCATGAAACCCTTTTTATTTTTCATGGAGTATCTGGCAATGGTAGGTAGGGCCCTACAGGTGACACTTTGGGAAACAGCGGTCAATAGGTTCAAAGGACTCTTCTCTGGAGGACCCCAAGAAATGGCGAAGGGAGGGTGCATTCCTCTGAAGTCAAGAAGAGCAATGACAGAGGGGAGTGCATTAGAAATGGTACCTCTGCCTGGGTTTCATCTTCCTACCTGGGCTGCTTCCTGAGTAGTGGCAAGTGAGTCCCCTGATGGCTGTGGTTCTTGGCAACTGAGCCGTGGTCCCTGGGTCCACCAGCCAGCTTCCCATTTATCGAGCCCTACTGCCGGACAAAGGTGAACTGTAGGTCAGTTTGTAACACTGGGGATTGACACAGTCTTGTTCGCTGCCTGTCTTCTTGCTTTTCTGAGCAAAAGTGTTGATCAAGGCCCTTGTTGCTCCTGCCTCATTTCTGCTAGTGCCAGCCAGGTTTGAGGAACAGAACTGCCCTTCCTCAAGGGTTGAGTCTTCCTTTCTTGGACTCAGTTTCCTCCTCTGTATAATAGGGATACTGATTTCTTGCCCTCACTTCTTTGCAGAGTTGTGTGAAGCTCAAATCAGATCATGAATGTGACCAAGCCCTCTGTAAACTGCGAGGGACTAGTGAATGACGGGGGTGTGATTATGGTAGAGGGACCTGCAGCCCTGCTCTGTTGTCGTTGAGACACTGGGTCTGAAGCCCTTGATTTCCTGGCTGGCTGCTGGTTGTTTACTTGTGGAAAAACCTCTGCCAAGAGCACTGTGGTGGGTTGGCTGTTTAGCTCTCCGAACTTACCCTGTCTGCACAACCCTCATGAAGAATCTGAGTCAACAGATGACTCCGGTTGGTTAACGAATCTTTCATCGATGGTTTAAAGGGTCCTGCAGCTATTTTCACCACTTACTCAAAGTAGATTTATTGCTGGAACAGTCTGGCAAACCTTTGTATGGAGCTGCTTTCGTAACACCTCCACTCTCCGCATGCAGCTGGGCGGAACAATGGGGAGTTGTCTTTCAACCAGGGGCTCTGGAAGCCTTCAGAATCTCTGTGTGTGTTGGAGCGCTGGACTTCTGGAGGCTCCCAGCCAGCTTCACCTTCCCTCTATCCTCTCCAACCTTCGTCATGCCCATCCTTGCTGCTGTTGGGTCCAGAGCCCATGCCCACCTGTGGGGCTACTCCCTCCCTACGGCTCTCCTGCCTCTGCCCATGGGCTCCTAAGGCTACTTTGGGGCTGAGCTGATGCTGAGAGTGTTGGTGGAACAGATACAGACTCAGGCTCAGGTTCAGAGGGAGCTACTCAGGTTTTTGTGGCCCAGCGAAGCCTGAGGAGCCCTGGGGACCCCTCAATCTGAGGAGGCCCAAGGCCACATTAGGCCTGCCCCCAAGAAGACCTCAACTCCTTACAGTGTGGCACTAAAGAGCTTTTTGTGTGTTCTACAATGATCCTTTGGGGTTAAGCCCAAAGGACTTATTTTTTCAAGTCCATCCTTCCTGGTCAGGTTAACCTAGAACCACATTTCTGAGGGTAGAGGAAGTAAAACTTGGGCCAAATGGCTACACCCCTATGTCAGACTCTCTAAGTTGGGGGAGGGGACATTGTGGGTCAATGGATATAAAGAGGCATTCTTCCCTTTGGCTGTCTCCCCGGTGATTTTGATTATATGACTCAATCTATGTGAGGGAAACCAAGATTCTTCTCAGTAAACATCAGTGCTGGCTCATTTGTTTATGCTTAGTAGAAACAGGTTTGTAAGGAAAGTATCAGAAGGTTCAGTTTTGAGAGGAGATCACAAAACTTGGTCTCTCTATATTTCAAATATGGATTCAGATTACTCGAATAATGTGAATTGTGGTAGCAATTTAGAGCTCTTAGAAAGCTTTTTAAAAACCTTCTCTCCTGTGATTTTTTCACACCAACCCAGAGAGGGTGGAATGCATATACCATTGCTCGCATTTTGCAGATGAGCAAACTAAGGATGCAGGGAACATAAATGACTTAGTCAACATCACATTGTTGGGCGATCTGGGATTTGTAGCCAGGACTTTTGCTCCTTTTCCAAATAGAGTATCTGGCAAAGAGAGGGAGGCCAAGGGGGAAATGATGTTAAAACCAATAAAACCGTCAGTCAGGGTTCAAGTTACAGACCGAACTGTTCTTATTTCTTAACAAATTGAATTTTGGTCCTGTGATCATGGGCAATTGGGCAGTTGGGCATTGCAGTTAATTAGTAACTATGTTTTAAAGATACAAGCTGGGGAGGTCTATAACATTTCTTGAGCACTTACTATGTGCCAGATACTGCATTATCCCCTTTAACTCCCACAACTAATCCTGTGAGGTAAAGGAGGGAATGGTCATCTCCATTTTATACATTAGGAAAACTGAGGCCCAGAGAGGTCAGATGGCTTGGAATCTGGCTCTAATAGCCAACATATTTAATCACTTATTCTATATTGTCTCATTGTTTTCTGCCTGATTGTGTCTTTCTTAATGGACAGTGTTCAAACCCAAGACTAGTGTTGTTATCTCTAAGACCTCTAATTGAGTGACCATTATTTCTACCAATAACTACTCGTCAGGATACACCAAGCACTCTGTGCTGCTCCAAGACAGTCACCTTAATGTACCAAAGAATGTGAGGCCACACCTTGCAGGTGTACCTCCAAATACCATCTCCTGCTGTCTTCCCTCCATTTTGGATTCTACAAGGTACATGTTGATTATATGGTCTCAAATATTTGGATTTTTAACACCTTAAAATGGAGCTTCCCAAAATAAGGTCTAGGGATTTTGAGTTTCATTGTCCTCATCTGTAAAAGGAGGGTGTTAGTCTAGATCAGCACTGTCTGTACTTTCTGCAATGATAGAATTTTCTATATGTGTTCTCCAATATAGTAACCATTGGTTGCATGTGGCTACTGAGCCCTTGAAATGTAGGTAGTGCAACTGTGAAACTGAGTTTTAAAATTTTAGTTTAACTAATTTACATCTAAATAGCCACAGGTAGCTAATGGCTACTGTATTCGGACAGTGCAGCTCTAGACTCTAGATTTTAGATCATTTCTTAAGTC